CTTCAAGGGTGTAGCACCGGTATGTGGGGCGTACCCCAAATCCAGCGAGGGATTGTAGGCGTCTCGTCAACGCGAAAAGTGGAACAACTCGGTCTTGTCGTGTTCAAGAACGAGCGCGAAAGCAACAAAGAGCAGGTAGATAATTTTGTAGGCCTTACGCAGGCCTACATTATTATCATCAAGACCACGTTCTCGGACGCATGGCTTGTCCATTCGACCGAGTCCAAACCTACCAAGCGCTCCAAGTCCTGGTGGACGGACGAGTGCTCGGAGACATTCGGAGTATATCAGTTGAGCCGCTCGCTCGCTGATTACAACAAGTTTAAGAAGGCGTGCAAAGACGCCAAACGTGATTTCTTCGATGAACGTATCGCGGAGATTGCTATTTCTCGCAAGCGCCCATGGGACCTGATGGAATGGGTCAAACAGCGCAAGCTACCACCCTGTGAGGCTATTCGCAATGGCGACCGGCCCTGCCACGATATGGACGACCTCTGGGACGCCCTACACGGCACATACAACTCAGCCTCTGGTCGTGAGTACGATGCCTCAGTATTAGACGAGCTTCCCGATGAGCCAGTCCGTGAATGGGCTGACTTCTCGGAGCATGAGTTGTTGAGTGCCCTTAAGGGGTGCTCCAACTCCTCTGCACCAGGACCGGACCACGTTACGTGGGTCCACCTAAAGGAGTTGCTTAAGGATAAACACGTCCTTGCGCTCTTCATCGTGTTGGCTAACGCTTGCCTACAGGTGGGTCATTGGCCGCATATATTTAAGGAGTCGCTATCGGTTATCATTCCAAAGCCGAATAAGCCCTCCTATTCTGTGCTGAAGGCCTTCAGGCTGATCGTACTCCTCATCACTTTCGGTAAACTTATCAAAAAGATGATTGCCAATAGGATACAGTTTGACGCTGTCAAGCATGATATCTTCCATCCCAACCAACTTGGCGGCATTCGCCAGAGGTCAACTGAGGATGCTGGATTGATTCTGACCCATCTCGGAGCGG